TATAAGTATCAAGAAGCATAATGAGAGAATAAGTAATTGTTATTACCCAGGAGCAGTCTTGAAAGCCGGCAGATGAGATTGAGATGAGTTGCCGAACGTTTCCTGATAATTTGAGTTGGAAGAATTGAGTGGTTGGCGGATGAGACCTGCCAAAGGATAAAAGGAGTTTAAATTGGGTGTGACCTTGTTTCGACGCTTCTTCGGAGTGTTTGGTAAGCCGAAGGACAATTCTTCATCCCTGCTAGTCTGAGTTTGTCGCCAGCTCTCGTGCTTCTGTTGCTTCAAAAGAAAGCGAGGATCCAGATGAGCTAAGGGGTGTGAAAAGCTTACTTTCCGGGTTACTCTTCGAATTTTCTGTCTTGGCAAGGGCTCGGAGTCATAGGAAATGATAGTTACCTCTTCTTTGAGTGCTTGACTGGTCCCCGTGTCATCCTGATGATAATCAATGTCAATAAGATGGTTTAAAAAGGAGCCAAGAGAGTCAAGGGCTACCTCCGACTCAGATCTGTCGTCGAGTTCAAGCATCTCTGAAGCACTGGGTTTCTTTCCCTTCTTCTTAGTGGTTCTCTTGGCGGCTTTCTTGGCCTTCCTGGCCCTTTTGGCAGCTTCATGATCATATTCCTTCTTCCAGGAGTCATCATCGGCCTGTCAAAGTCGTCAGAATTGAGTTAAAGCAAAATATTAAGGATGAAGGTAAAATAAGTAATTTGGCGGCTTACTTCTGGTGTCGGGTTAGATTTGTAGAAAGGGCTTAGGCCCACCTTGCTGCAGTCTATCGGGCTTTCATGTAGAATAAACTTCGTCATCTCGTTGATGGCGTCATCAGTTAAATGCTCGGAGCTGTGGCGCAGTGGATCCTTTTTGGCACCAGTGTAAGTGCCCATTAAGCTGGAGCGGCGACTTAAGGGAATGACCCGCCATGAAACCCAACATTGAACTAAGTCAATGTCAGTCAAGTCGTTTCCTAACAGAGCCTTAACATTGGCAATGGTAGGGGCGAGTCTTTTGTGTTCAATAGCTCTCAGCTTGTCAGGGAGAGGATGATTTGATTCAAGACGCAGGGCGCAAAAGCCGGGCAGTCGGTTCTCGTCAGCCGGAGAAGTATCCTTGCAGTAGAACCATGTCTGGTTCCAATCCTTGGGATGACTCGGCAGGCGCGCATAAGGGAATATAGCATCTCTTCGTCGCTGGATTGAGATCCCACCAAGTTCCAAGCTGGGTCTGTTGGAGTACTCGTTCTGGCGGTTCAAATAAAAGTACTCTCTGAATAGCTCCACACTGGGCTCCTCTTGAAGGTACACCTCACAGAACACTTGGAAATTGCATATATTTGACACGAAATTGGGTCCGATGTCCTAAGGATGAAGGTTGAAAAAGTGCAGAACATCCCGGAAGAATTTAGAGTCGGGCGATGAGAAGCCCCGGTTCATGTGATCGGTAAAGATAATGACTTCAACATCTTTTGGTTGAGGTTTCTCCTCTGCCGGCGTAGGAGCGCGGTAATGCATGACAGACTTCTTTGGCAAATAGCCGGTTTTCACAAAGTCCTGGAGTGTGTCCTCAGTGACAATGGAAGGAACCCAGTTACAGGAAGTGGTTGTCTTTGGGGCCATCGCGAAGAAAGAAGCCTAAAAAGGAAAAGAACAAGTTTGCCGGTTCAAAATTAAGCCGGTGGGAAAGTATTACAACATATATTCAGAATGGCGGCTTAAAAGGGGGCCTAATGGTATACGACTAGTTACAGCAGGCTATGTAAGCCGCCATGAGCAGTTTGATGTCTATCAAAGGAGAAATCTGTTGAGCATTGAATTTAACCACAGCCGGTGATATAAGCCCCCATGACCAAGTTGGTTTATCAGGAAGAAAATTTTACTAAGTCCCAGACAAACAGGTTTCACATATTACAATTATAAATTTGGATCTGGCGCTGTGTGAAAAAGAAAATAAATCAAAAACCTAAAGCAGTACAGCAGCAGAAGAACTAGTACAAGGGGACATCTATGCATCTGCGAAGCAGGCTTCGAGACATCAAAAGGAAGGGAAACAGGTTCCGCACGTCCTAACAGGTATGCTCGGATCCAAAACGAGAACTATGAAGAGCTACGAAGAACACGACGAACTACTGAAACCCTAAAGCAGTCTGGAGCATGGAAAGGGGAAAACTTACAGATGCAGATCAGACTGCGGTGGAGTGCCGGTGTTTTCTGGTCCGAATCAGGTTGATGCAGCGGCCGATGATGAGGCTGACGATGAGCTCCGCGGCGGCAGGAGAGTCGCAAGAAGAGGAAGACGAAGGAAAGGAGGGAGAATGAGAAGGGGTCGTTCAACCCTATTTATAAGGAAAGGCAACAGATGGGCACAAAAAACGAGGAGGCCAAAAAACATGGTTATCCAGTTGCTCGGGCGCCTTGATTCTCGGGACGGCTATTAAGATAAAGATCCGTTGAGATATATTGGATATTGTGTGAATTAATGATAGGTGACATCATGGCGGGTTATCGCAATTCCAGGAGATGATGTCATGGCGGGTTATGAATTCTCGCACAAATGAAGAAGAGAGGATTTTTCCTAAATGTTGAAGATTGACATGAACAAGTTCAAATAAATATGGGGCCTAATGTTGGAGATATAACTGTTAGGTATGACTCGCCCTGGAGGGGCCGGGTTATACCTATGGCGATTAATCATATGAAGCCCACACGGATATCGAAGATGGCGGTTCAAGATAAGGGCCCAAGGCCCAAGGGCGACTTAAGGCCCGTAGAATAAACCGCCATATGTGTAAGACTTGTATTGTAAGGCATGTATAGGTAGTCACCAAGCCGGACACGTTGTCTATGAGCCGGTCGGGACTCCGTGAGCCACTGGGCGTCAACCTGTGTATATAAAGGGACGACCCGGCGGCGGTTCAGGGCAAAAAACAACAGATCGAAAGCTAGATCAAGCGGATTCGCTCCCTGGTAATCGAGACATAAGCAATACCACCTCAACTGGATTAGGCCTTTACCTTCACCGCAAGGGGCCGAACCAGTATAAACTCATGTGTTTTGTCCTGTTTAACCCCTTTTAAGCTAACCTGGTTGCGATGGCTCCATGACTAAGTCCTTTCGCTAGGACATCTGCCGTGACTATTCCACGACAGGTCCAAATGATGTCTCAAATGAGGCAAGGTTCACATGTCTCAAATGATTCATAATCAAGAGATTCCAAAAGTACATCAGTATGGAGTTTCTTCATGCGCTCTCCCTCTCCCATCTCCTGCCCTCTATCCCTCTCCCGTAAGCACGCTAGAGAGCACCCTGTCGCCGTCGTCTGGCGGGCACATGGCCAACGGCAACCCGAAGGGCCACCACTTTGCCAGGAAGCTCTTATGAGATGCCCTTGGCCTACCAGCCTAGGAATTGGACCAGAGACGTCCAATACTGAGCACCACGATGCATCTTCCCGGCCTCCGGCCTCGGACCGCCGCCATTGAAGCACGCCGGTCAATCTCTGCCTCTCCTCTTGGATCCTAAGGTACCATAGAAGAATTGGGCGTCCTCCAAACCAAACCCATAACCTCGGGCCTTCTTCCCCGCGAGCTCCGAGCCCCGCCATGGCCGCCATGGTCGAAGTCCTCGCTCCAGTCTTCCTCGAACCCCGGCGGCATCACCATCGTGTTCATAGTGAGCTCTGAAATCTCACATATCCGGTTACCCTCTCCCTCCCCCTCGCATGGAAGCTTCCCATCTTGCGCCACCCAGAGCCGCCGCACGAATGGTCGCCGCCGTTCGCTCTGGCGCCCATATGGCCTGAAGAAGCCATCCAAGGACGTTGTAGAGCTAGGGCTATCACCTGGCTACCTCCGTTGACCTTCCCGCGGCCTTATGGCGTGCCTCCGACAATGATTTTGGTTGCCGCCGGCAACCCACGGCCTAATCCACTGTTAATTAAAACAATGTATTTTAGAAATGAATAATAAGACAATGACATGTGGGCCCGATATCTAGTTTGACCGGTCCTTATCTAGTTTTTTTTTCTTTTTACTATTTGGGGCCCACATGTAAGTGCGTGAGAGAGAGGGTGAGAGAAAGAGTTTTTTTATTTTTCTGAGTGGATCCCACATGTAAGTGACACATGGAGGCAGGGGCAAAATGTCCAATAAACGCCCCGTTGATGGTCAAACCCCTTTGACTGGACAGAAACAGAACGGAAGGGCATTTCTGTAAGGTCACTTAACGAGAGAGGGGCAAATTTGAGTATGCTTCGAAATTAGGGGTAAATCTGAGTAGTGGGTTTGAGTTAGGGGCACAGATGTAAATGGTCCGAAACAATATATCTGCATGATGAACAAGAACAACATCTTTGACCTAGGATAATTATCTATTGAAAAAGCTAAGGAATGCATAATTTACAGTTTGCTCGAAAGTTTTGATCACCTGTTGCTCTTTGATCTGACCCAATCAATACGTTTGATACTGAAGGTTTAAACGTGACTTTTCCCTCATCTGGGTGATCTGGGTGTTTGGTTGGTGACCATATTTTTCAGCGGATATGCCAGAAGGGAGTTGTAAGCGTCCAACACCCCCGATCGAGGCCCAAGCACACGCCGACTTTAGGTTCGAACAGACGACTTTGAGCAGATTTGCAAGTCTCAGTTCAAACGCTGGTATATCCCGTGAACTTTTACTCTTAACCATTTATCTGCAGCCGCAATGGCAGGGTGATATCTTGTTATATCCCGTAAACTGGAGGAGTCCTTCGCTCCAACACCTGGTTTTGCCGTTGCCGCCTCCATTTTAATGCAGGCAATGCCGTTCAAACGCCGTATCTAAGATCGACTAAGATAAGAGTGACACAAAACAAAACGAAGAGTCCCATGTTGATGCGATCGACCAGTGCTGTTCAAACGCCCTATCTCGTCCCCATTCCCTCCTATAAAATGGCCGTCATGCACCCCGTTGGTTCTTCGCACCACAGACCGCAAACCCAGTAGCCGACCGTAAACCTCCGCGCAGCGCATGCACGAGATGGCGCCATCCAAGCCCGCCGCCGCCCTGCTCCTCGCCTTGGCCGTCCTGCTCGCGGCCGCGCAGCCGTCTTCCGCCATCAGAGTCAAGCCCGCGTGCGCCCCGATTGTTAAGCCATCGCCACCTCCCCCCGCAGCTTCCCCACCGCCGCCGCCGACCCCGGTGATCAGCAACCCACCCCCATCTGTCCCGTCTGTCCCAGCTTCCCCGCCGCCACCGAGCCCAGTGATCAGCAACCCACCGCCATCCGTCCCTGCTTCCCCGCCGCCGCCGAGCCCAGTGATCAGCAACCCAACCCCATCCGTCCCTGCTTCTCCACCGCCGGCCACCCCACCACCAGCCCCGGCCTCGCCCGCTACCCCGCCGTCCCAGCCCACGGAGTGCCTGACGCCGTTGATGGGACTGACGCCATGCATGGGCTACCTGACCAACACCAGCGTGGCGACGCCCCCGGCCGCGTGCTGCGGCGCCTTCAAGTCCCTGGTGGACAACGCCCCCATCTGCCTCTGCCACGGCCTGAACGGCGACATCAACAAGATCATGCCCGCCCCCATGGACTTCATGCGCATGATGTCCCTCCCGGGAAACTGCGCCGTCCCGCTGCCAATGCAGACGCTTGCACAGTGCGCCAGTAAGTCATCGTAGCCGATCTTCACTACTGTATTATGTTTCTATTTTTGGCATTGTTATTTTGTGAATTACCTGCATGACCGGAGGAAGATTGAATTTTTGTCGATGTTATGACAGCGGCGCCGGTGCCACCACTGGACCCTCCTACCGCTCCAGCAGCCCCATCTCCAAGTAACTACCGTTTCCTTCGGAAATTCTGCCTTCACTAAATAATAATTTGGCCATGCTAGCTAGTGTTAATTTGTCGTATGATCCACAGTCTGACACGTGTTTTTTTTTCTCTCTATCCTTTGCAGAGCCATGACTGTAGAAGCAAGATGATCCATCGATATGAAGTCCGATCAAGATGATGAATTAGTTGTCAACCACATACTCCACTAGTTTCGGTATAGTTAGGGATAAGATATATTTATCTTAGGTTAGTGTTTTATACTATGTTGTGTGCTGGCGATTTAGATCTACAAAGTACCTATTCTGTAGGAGAATTCTTTTCTTTTCATCACTGTATATATGCGGTGATCAATATTAGTCCATACGTGCATCGCGAATTCGTAAGTGTCTATATGCATGTGCTTTACGGGTGCCCCTGCGTGTTGGATCAGCTCTTGATTCAAATCATTTCTTCCTCTTTCAGTTTCAGGAGCTTGTGAATCTGCAGGGTACGCGCGTATTTTTTCTCTCTCTGCATTGCAGGCTACGAACGCACTGTGAGGTGCTAGAGCCCATGTTTTTTTTCTTTTCTTTGAGGTGGATGCTAGAGCCCACGTGTGTTGTGTGCTGTTCCTCGATGAGGCCCGCTATGATACGTGGGCTTTTTACCAGGCCAGCATAGCCTGCCGGGTCTCTTGCTGGGAGCGTGCAAGCGGGCGACGATGGTGGCGAGCAACGCAGCGCGCGAGCGAAAGCGATTGACGGACGCGGTACGGTTGCGGTTGCCAGTTGCCGAGTTGGCCACTTGGAGAGACCAAGTGGGCACCTGCCGTCCACTTGGCTGATAGGATTTCATCAACCGCAGCGAGCAGCCTGCCACGGTGTCTCCTGTGCCAACGCGTGCGCATTCTTGATTCTGTCGGCCGCTGCGGCGGGGTTTCTAGGTGCGGTTGCCGTATGGTGAATTCTGTGGAATAGAGTACTACAAGAGCAATGGAATTTGCAATGGTTTGAGTTTGAAAATGAGACGCACTCGAGATAGAATGATTTGTTAGGATTTCTCCAAAAATCCACTGCAATGCTCTGTATGCGTTTCACTTGGTTATATTAAGAGTATGTGTAACGCCCCCTCCCTCGACGTTAGTGGTTAATTAAGGCACCGATAGCCCAAAAAATCAGCGCCCGTTGCATCAAACGGTTTGAGAAAGGGCCAAGCACCCACCGCCTTATCCTGCATCGATGTCGTGCCTGACTCCATAATCCAATAGATGGTGTACGGAATCTATCCTATCGTAGCTGTTAGCGCCACGCGTAAGGCATGCCCTAATACCGTGGCTATTTCTTATCAAAGACGTGTGCTTCATTATATTCCTACTTAATGCAGATTTATCTTTAGGGATAGAGTTTGCGATAGTAGCGTGAATGTAGTTAAAGAAAATTGTTCACGGGCTGATGAAGCTATATCTGGGAGTCGGATGATATCGAGGAAAAACCACTAAGCTGTTTTTATGAGTGTGGAAATTACCAAGCTAATAAAAGTAAATAAATGAACCCCCTGCAGAAATTAATAAAAATTGATGAAAACGGCGAAAGAAAACATGCAAGAACTCATCCATCCCCGAATGACCACACGAAAATCGTCTGCTTCCTCTCGGGTCGGTCCAATCTCAGCCCTCCATCCACCGGCCGAACGATCCGGGCCGTCGAAAGCCAGTCTCCACTCCCCCGCAGCCGCCAGACTTTTTCTCCCCTCCGCCCTCCCCCGTCCCTTTCCTCTTCATCCCCGATCCCTTCCTTCCGCACGCCGCTCTCAAGCTCCTGCCCTACCCGACCTCCAATCCCACCCAATGCGGCTCTAAAAATATCTCACTCGCTCCGCCACCGCCGACCCCCAGACCTACCGCCGCGCCGTAGCTCGGCGCCGCCGCCGACGGCTCTCGCGCTCCCCGCCGCCGCGGCCGCCGTCGCCGTCCCCGTTCTACCCCGTCGCGTCCCTGCTGTTCCCACCCCGTCCGCGGCCTTGGGCGGTAGCTTTCGAGGTATGAGCTTTCTAGTCATCCGATGATCACCTCATCGGGATTAGCTTCGAGAAATTTCGGGTGTGCGCCCCGCGCATCACCTAGATCCGTCCCCCGGTGCCGGAGCGGTTAGCTGTCTCGTAGCTGCCGAGGGCGGATTAACCTCTATCTGATCTGTTATAGCAGTTAGTAAGTAAGTAGCGATTGAATGGAATGCTCTTCATGTGACTGAATTGCTAAATCCAAGCAGGAAAAGAGGCGGGGTCGCATGGGGAGGTAGGCGTCGGTCGATACTGGAGTGATTTTGGCTGCCGGAAATGGTGCTGGTGGTGAAGCAGCACCGCTGCACGCACTCGGCTTCCTGCTCCTGCACCAAGGGCCACCTCAGCGAGGACGCGCTGTTCCTTGTCTTCCGCCACATGAACTGGAACCCCAGGCTGATCGCCAACCTCTCCTGCGTCTGCAAGTGGTTCGACGAGGTCGCCAAGCAGGTGCTGTGGAAGGAGTTCTGCCATGCCAGGGCGCCCAAGATGATGCTAGATCTGCATTCCGACGGCAGCCACATTGTCGACGGCAACTGGAAGGCGCTCGGAAAGCTGCTGATCTACTGCAATGGCTGCACAAAGGGGGGCTTGTTCGGGAACATCCATGTCCCCGGCCACTTTGTGTTCAGGACGCGCTTTTCAAGGACCGCAGGCAAGAGCTTCCTGCCTCTGCAGTGTAGGATGGATGTCTTGTATGTGTCCGATCCGTGCGAACATCTCGACCAGGGGGAAGAAGGCGACCTGGGTTTTTTCCGTGGCATCTTCAAGTCGTTTGCCACTTCAAGGGTCAAGAAGATCCTGATTGAGAAGCAGGCTAGGTTCCATCCAATGGAGGTTTGCCCCTATTGCAAGGCTAAGCTATGGAACATGCTGCATGCTGATATGATGCCGGCTAGTGCTTCCGCCAGGCTGGGTGCTTACGATGATTCCGTGGAGTACTTTGTATGCCTGAATGGACATGTCATTGGATTGGGAACCCTGTTACCTCTCTCGGATTCTGAGGAGGCACCGGAGGAGTAATCATCAGGAACATTGATCAGGTGATGATATGCTATGTTTTCTTGGTTCCTGTCATTAGTTTAATTTCCAAAGTGCAGCTTAGCTTTATCTTCAAAGGTTGATTTTCTATTGCTTACTTGTGAAGATAATCAGATAGATTTCTTTATGATATCTGTTGGTATACAGACTGATAGCTTTTAATTTATGAAGATGCAAACTGAAACTCAAGCTGCATATCCATTGTTTGGTCATGCCGGCAGATTAACTCTTCAATCTCTTTACGAAGACCAGTTTCTATGGGCTGACAATTTGAATGAACAGTGATATAATTAACAGTGTTCAATTTGTATTGTGTACATCAAGGTGCTACATGGCTAGTTCAGTTTTATTTTAATCTTGCATACGTGTGGTTTACCCAGCACATGATATTTACATCCTGAAACCCCAAAAGAATCAGCAAGCAGTTGCTGGAACATTGTGTAAAAATGCTTCTTTTAGATTCTGTACAAAATTTCATGTCTGGAAAGTTTCAGAGAAATTAATATTTGAATTTGGTCTCATACATTTACATCATCTTTTTTGACACACTGTTCAAACAACGATCAGTGGTTATGTTTATATCAGTAAGAAAGCTCACCAGGCCGGCTCTACCCCTTATCTACTAATCTTACTGCATATAAATGAAGCCAGGATCATGGCTGTAACTAAATTTGTGAATCACAGAATTTCATTTGCCCATGTTTCTGTTAAATCCACAAGCATACTAACCGCTTATTCTTAGACCAGCCATGTTTTCCAGCTGCCTGTCCCTCTTGTTTCTCTCTGTAAATTTTTGGGGAGAAAACGTCACTGCTTATGTATCTATAAATGTGTTATGTATCAACCTCATAGCTTTGTATACCTATATTTTAGCTGATAAAACAAATTTTGGCGATAAAACTGCCAGTTAGAATAAGGCAGCATAAATTTAAGCCTACTTATGTGATGATAGTGCAACCTATCAGTAACCAGAACATCTATCTTTTTATGCTGAACATAATTGCAAGAGTCTGTTCAACCAGAGCAGGCCGTTCAACCAAGACCACAATTGGCTCCCATTTTGGACTGGAAAATATGTTTATTTTGAAGTGAAGAAATATGTTCTTAATATAGCCGTTGTTGGTGACAGGTTTGCGAGATGGAGTCCTGGGGCTTGTGGCATATTGCTTCTGAATCTTGGTTGTGTCTAACAGCGAGAAGGCAGGCATGGGCGCGGCAAAACTGCAAGGCAACAAGAACGTGCAGCTAGCTTTGCATCTAACCGCTGTGTTGTCCGTACTGGTGCATCAGATGAAAATGCTGTTTCTCTGTGGTCTCTTCTCTGTTTGTTGATCGATTCTCTGTTGTTCTCGTCATTGTAATGACCATGCCGACCTTTCGTCTTGTCCTACATGTGCACAGCATATGTAGCAAGGCGTGATGAGACCGAGTTGTAAAATTGGTGCCCATATTGGACCTCATATATCCATGTGCTGTTCCTAACTGTATTGTTTTGTTTCTACCGACTTGATTCGTGTCCTGCTGCTATAGAAATTTGGGGACGGAAGGAGTCAACCTATAGGTCCTTCGATTTGGACAAAACTTGTCTGATGAACAGGTGCATGGGTTGATGCTATTTCCAACTGCATAACTGGTGTGATGTTATTGAGATTTGTTTAGCACTCTTTACTTATCGATCTGTACTGTTGCTTATGCTAGAGCCTGTTTATCATTTTCAAAGTATCTTGATTCTTTATGTTGTCCACTGACGGGGGGAT